AGTAAGCTGGGGGTCATGTCAATGTAACATTGATCAAGACAGAGGGAAGAATTATTGGCTGCCAATAGCGTGGTTCACCATCTACTTATTCATGAACAAGCAAATATATTTAAAACTTAATTTGTATTATTTCATGGCAAAAATATGAAGAACAATATTACACAAAATACTTATAATGGGGATAAAGTGTATTTTTCCTTGTAAATGCACATGTCCATAAAACAATGAACTATATTCTATACATTTTTTATAGGAATGCAGATGTCACAAGGAGAAATATGGACAATGTACAGAATTTTTTATATCTGCCACATACACACACACACACGACTGCTGGCAAAGTGGTCATAAAGTTTCATACATTATTTGTACTATTGATTGAGATATTTCTTTTGTCAATGGTAGTCCCACACCCAGGTACAAGGCAAAAGATAAGCTTCGTTGATCTCAATGCTTAGACTTCCAATGCATGGTTTAGAGGAGTCAGTGGAAGCAATGCTGGCCCTGTCTTTTTAGTGTCAGAACTGGTCAGAACAACCGAAGCTAGCTGTTCAGTCTGTCTTTGAGTTTCCCTGCAAGCAGAGCCTGCAATAGAGACTTAGTAATTTTCCATGTTTTTGCAGAGATATTCCAGGAAGCAGGTGCACAGAGATGGGGAAAATTACATCGAGAAGGATTAAAAGCCATTGAACTTGCCACCTCTGTGGGCACCTCAAGGCTTCTTCCCACCAGAGATCCTCTTAAGAACCACAATCTAGACGCCTCAGATAATTTTTTCAAAGGATAAGACCTCCCCACCAGTCTTTGTCCTTCATTGCTAGAGGGTCCCCTTTGCAGTGTTGACATCTCTGTGTAGCTTGGAGCGCTTTGTTTAAGAACTGAGCAAATTCCTGCAGCTTTAGGGAGAAGTACTGAGGCATAGACAGGAGAGAAATAATGAGGAAGATGGGAGGCTACCACTACCATGGTAACTGTACAAGAGCTTTTGCTGAAATGTAAAGTGAGGCCAAGGAATATGAGGTGCAAGAGGGACCCTCTTTTTTCACAGCAAAAGAAGCTAAGCCTCTATTAGCCCTAAGATTATGTCAGGAAATCCACCCAACCTCTGCCAACTTCATGTCTCAAGTCTCAAAGAGGTATTCTGAAGATGAACAAAAGCTGGGCTTACCTTTCTTAGTCTTATAACGCCATCCTGGGCCTGGGCATCAGAAGTGATTTCAAAAAGTGCTGTTCCATCTCCATCAATGATGTCATATGAGGACTGTGCATTTTCACCAATATCTTGGTCATTGGCCTTCACCCTCCCTATCGCGGTGCCAAGAACCACATCTTCTGGTACTGAGAAGTGATATAGACCTTAGAAAAGGAGAGAAACACTGAGCATTGCACACCATCCATTCATTCACTCATTCATTTAGCAAATATTTATTGGGTACCTTCTTTGTTCTGGAAACTCCTGTAGATGTTACCAAATACAGTGATGGGAAAGCAAAAAATATCCCTTTGGCTGTGGAATATACAACCTTTTCCATGAGTCAGAGACAAACCATTCCCAGAAGTCGTAGTGATCGCTCTTTGAGACTCTTCTGAGATAGGCAACTTATTCAACCATATGTTTACAAAGTATATATTTGGAGCAGTTACATCAGGATGTTGTGAGTCTATGTGAGTGTTCTTTCCAACTGCCTGTATAATCACATTGGCTGCACATTGGGGTTTCATTGTTGCCCGGCATAAAATATAAAGCTAATTTCAGCACAGTAAGTTGCAATGTGTAGCACACTGAAAGTCACTTTTGAAGTTACCTTTATATTTACAGACTTTTGAAGTTACCTTTATATTACAATTTTTGATAAAATCCAATTACTAAACTTCTGCTGTGCCCTGCAGCAAGCTGTTCAGACACATGAAACCCTCCACTTGTTCCTAAAGTCCTCGTCGCCCTAAAGACCAAAAATCCTACCTTCCAAACTCTCTAGGCAAAATACAATTACAGTATATGTTCATTCTCCTTTGGGGGGCTGTAAAACTTGTCTAATTAATGTCATTAGTCCTATTTTCATTCAAAAACACTCTGGTGGCTGTACTGGTGGTACTCACTTGATTGGGACAGGGGAAACTGTTGGTGCCCTCGCCATAAGCCCTGGCCATTGCCACTTCAGTGCACACTTGCCCCATATCTAAATGCCAACTCCTGCATTTCTTTGCCTAAGGGTTTTCTCTGGCTTGCAGAACCTGTTTTGCCTACTGCCTGTGAGGCCAGAACCACCAGTAAATGATGCCCCCAAAGAAGCAGCCTCGAAGACTCACCCAACTTAGTGCACAGAATTCCAAGTACCTTCCCTCTTTGGTAGGATCACATTGGGCTATTTCTTTTCTTTTCCCTATTTATACTGTTTCAGAGTTTCCCCAATGGGATCAAGCTTCAGTACCCCACAGCAGTAGCTGGCTGGATAAATGCACATTACTGGCCCTCTGTCTTGCTCTTGATCACATCCTCACTCCCCTACTGGCATTTCTTGGGATCATCTCCAAGATAAACTGCCTAGAATCAAATTTTTGTATCAGTGTCTGTTTCTGGGGAATCCAGACTCAGACACCCAGCCAGTTTTAGTCTCATTGAAACAAAAACAAGGGAAAAATAATATTCCATGAATTATAAACTCAAAAGGAAAAATTAAATCTGAAGAACATTACCTAATTCTACTTTGGATTCAATCACTGAGCTCCTTGGATAAACTAAGGCTCATTTTACCCAATGTAATAAAATTACTTCAGATAATGGGCAAGGTTTTCTTCTAGCGCTAACACACTTTTCCTTCATGATGAAATAAAAATGTCTCTTAGAATCATGAAATTATGGGACTGGGGAACAAAAATGTTTTCCAAACAGTTTTGCCATTAGGTAGGCATTGAACATCCTCATGTTGAACACAGATCTCCCAGTTCTCTCATAATTGGTGTAACGATTCCATTTCCTTCCAACTTTATATTCCAGGTAAGGTATGAGATGATCCCCTTATGTATGCTTATTAAGTAAATAAGGTAGCACCCCACTGCGAGTCCTGTGTCAAGGAGCCTTGGGAAATTGAGGAAATGAAACATTTCTTTATCCATTCCTATTCTGCTCACCCTCATCATCTCTATCAGTGTGATCATAGTCAATAGTTACTGCCTCTAAGAAAGGAAACACTTTTGGAACTCATCTACCACTGCTGAATTGAAACAATGATTTTCGAAGAGAGAAGAGTTGCTTATTAGAGCATTAACTATGATGGCAAAGGAAAAGGAAATGAAAGAGTTGGGGGAAGGACAGGAGAAATTGTGTTCTCCAGTTCAATCATTTGGCTAAAAAGGGTTGCATTGTTGTCTGATTTATGAATGGCTGGAAGTGAAAATTCCAACATTCTTAGTGAAAATGCATCTTTTCTGTTCTTAATGAAAAAGCGTGCTTTTTTCTGTTCTTTCTACCTTAGAATTTCTGAGAGCTACCTCCAATGTGTTATTTTCCCCTCCGTTTCTCACTCTCCTTCTCTCTCCTCTCTCTCTTTAAAAACTGGTTTTCCTAGGTTATTTCCTATCCCAGCAAATAGCACCAGCCTGCATCTAATCTTATATCTTATATCAGAAATACAGTAACACACCTCCTCAAGTCAAACTTCAATCTATCCTTAGATTTTTGTTATCATTAACTCTTAAGTATCTATTCAGAGCTTTATATTTTTCTTCATTTCCATTTTGACTACTCTTTGTTGCCAGGGCTATCATTGCCTTTTACATGCATGATTACAACCACCCTTTACCTGGCTGCAGTGTGAAGACATTGGGATAAGTCTGAATTTCATTTCTCTGATTTTCAGAATCAAATCCTATTACTCAATCTGCAACTTAAAATCTTCTAACGGCTCCCAGTGATCTTAGGATAAAGAGCATAGTTCTCAAGATGGCCTACACATCCATGTATGGCTAACTCCTGCCTGACCTGACTCCAACTTCTCTTTCAGCTGTAGTGAAAATCTTTTGATTCTCCTCCAGGGCCATGAACCCTTCATCCCCAGGGATTTCGGACATCTTTTTCCTCTGGTTTCAATTTTTCACTTTGTGCCAGTTAATTCCTATTCATCATTCATATCTCAATTCCAAAGTCTCCATGTCAGGAAGCCCTCCCCAAATCATGTCTCTGTCAGATTACTTGGATAAATGTGCAGAAGAAAGGGTTTATGAGAGTCCAAGAAAGTTGACAAATAATGATAGTCTCCCTGATTCATTGATGGTGGCTTCCTAGGATGCTGTGGAGATATTTCTAAGGCAGAGCCCAGCTTTAGCAGGAATGGGTAGAATCAATGATCACTGATGGTTCCCAATCGCAGGAAGGAGCGTATATTTTGCAGTAAATTCACTGCACAGCTGCAGATTTAGTCTTTTCTACAACAAGTAGTACTAGTGCTACAGCAACATCTGAAGTGCATTTTAATCATCCTCTCACATTTTCTTAATGGGTGGTACTATGGAATAGAGAAATAAGCACATGTCTTGCAGAGAGACACACTGGTTCCAATTCTCAGCTCCAGTACTTACTATATGCTTGATATTTGGAAATTTTCTCAACTTCATTGAAATTTGTAAAATGGGGATACATTTCACATTGAAAGAACAGGGAGGATGATTGTTTCATATGTCTATGAATTACCATATCTTGCACATAATAAAACTTGGTGACTGTTTGTTTTTTAGATTTGCTGAGAATTAGAATGTAAACTCCAACAAAAGCTTCATATTTAGGTTCTCACCCAGTGCAGGAAATTCACTTACTCTGGGCAAATTTCGGAGGATTGTCATTAACGTCGGTAAGGGTCACTGTAAGTGTGGTGGTTCCAGACAGGCCACCAGAGTGTCCACCCATATCTTTGGCTTGGATGACAACCAGGTACTCCTCCTTGGCTTCTCTATCCATGTTGGGAAGGGCAGTTTTTATAATTGCTGAGGGGAAAAAGTGGGAGAATGATTTTCAGGCAGACAGCTCATTCAAAAATGAAATGTGTGAATCACATACACGCCATATACACAAACACACACATGTGCATGCAAGTCCCCAGTCAGATAATTTCCTGTTTTCCTTTGACATTTAACTGGTGTGCATCTGTGATGTCAACACTGAGAACAATTTTAGTTCTAGACATTAGTGGATCACTTGCAAAAATACATTTTGTAATGCATAAGAAGAACTTGTAAAAATACACATTGGAAAGTAAACTGAATGGCATACTTTTGCCTACCAAATTACAGTATAAATCATAACATAGCCTTATCTACCCAGGAAAACCCTGGAAGTGAAAGAATCCTACAATTTATCACAGACTCCAACTCCCTACAAGAGGAATAAATACACAAATAGCTTGAAGGCTCTAGGGTCAAAGATAAATTATTCTGAAACTCACAAACACATTAGAGAGAAGAAAGCAAGAAATGCATTATTTGAATCAACTCAGATACGTAAAACACCAATCAGAATTAAAATAGGCAAGTGTCTAAATACTAACGTACTGTTCAACTACATTTACATTTTAATTTTTAGATGTTTAGTTACATCTTTTCTATTGGAAAAGTTAGAACATTTTAGAAAAATAGGAAGATACAGGGAAGAGAAAAGGGTTAAAAAACATAAAATCATACAAAATAACAATACATGCCATCAGCACTAAAATGGTGTGTTTTTCTTCTGACATATTTTCAGGGTTTTATCTATCTGCTTCTTTGTATGTTTTACTAGTAACTTAATATTCTTGTTAAAGTTTCAAAATTTGCATAGATATTTCTCAATTTATTTTGAAAATCTTTAGCCCTCTAGCTACTCTTGTACCTCTTTTTGTAGATACACATTGCTAACATTTTGATGTGTATAATATACATATAAAACATTATATGCATAAGCATACAAATGTACATACATTTATGAACTTTTAACCACAAATGTGATCATGATCTAGGCATTGTTCTGGGACTTTCTTTTTTCACACAATGCCTATATATTTTAGATCTTTCCTTATTAGCATACAGAGGTCCAATTCATTACTTCTTATAGCTGCATAATGTTTATTTATGAAAGAAGCATATGTAAATTAGGCATTCGCATATTAATGGATATTACATATTTCCAATTTTTTCCCATCTAAAAGAATAATCAGGTATCTTATAATGGAAATACCATATTTTTCTGTGTCCTAGATTTCTACTTTATGTCACAAGATGCCTTTCCCCAGCCCCATATTGCTAAAAAGCCTATAATAAACATTACTGCGACTAGCCCGGAGTATTTGTATGAAAAGGATGTGTGTTATATCTCTGGCCCAAGTGAAATAAAGATGTGTAAAGGTAATTCCCCCCTCTCTTGTAACCTCAGGGACATCATAAATGTTTAATTCAAATTAAGGATGAGCTACTCTCTTGGCCACTTCTGAAATTGTAATCCTGATTTTTTGGACTCATGTGCTCTAAATTAAATTATCTGTCTGTAAAAGGTTTGTGAGGAGTTCAAGTCCCTGAATCATCTAAGCAGCAGGCAAGGTGCAAGGGTGCCCAGGGAAATCTAATCCACCCAGGCAGTGAGCAGGCTGTAAGAAGAGCTGTGAGTTCTTTGGTACTTTATTAGACCCTGACCCCACTTTCATATCAGAGATTCCCCACTCAGGGAGCAATCAATTATGTAACCTGCTTATTTGGAAATACTGGCAGTACTATAATAATATCTTTCAACACAATGCTTTGTTTCAGGATTTAAGCATATGAAAGTACTCTCAATAGATCGTACTTACACGGTTATGGACAAAAGCAGAAATAAAAGAAAAACAGAAAAATAGCAATCACTCAGACTTGGATCACTATGTGGGGAAGAGAAACATAAGAAAAGCAGCAAATAGAGCAAAATCTCATCATTTAGCATGATGATATTCCAGTATGGTTACTCTACTAGGGATATATATTTTCGTAACTCATAACATCTTCGTGATGGACCCAGTTCCCATAGGAAGGATTAGAAAATGTTTTTTTCGCATGATGTTTACATGAGTGGTTGCAAAGCTTACATGCCAGCATATTCTAAGGTGTTCATGAATTAAAACTTTTCATTGGCCTTGGAACTTGACAGGGAGCCTCTAGTAATGAGAAGAAACTGGTAGAATTCTTCAAGGAAGGAAGCAACTTTTTTTTCAAAGAAATCGATGGGTCAAGGTTTACACCTGAGTTCTTCTAGGTTACTCTCATAGAAGAATTTTTACAGTTTCATAAGAATCAGAGAAGACTGGTATGTATTATTCTCATGCTTTTTGATATATATTCTGATAGTGTAAGTTAAAAAAAAACTGTGATGTCTGTCAGACACTTGGAATTAAAATAGATTTGAGGCTCAGTTGAAAAATAGGAAACCTGGGTTAGTGTCTATGAGGTGTATCAGAACATGAGTGAAGTATCTTGAAGGAGGGCCTTGCTTAAATGGAACAAGAAAAGCTCCATGAGTCTCTGCTTATTGCAAAATTGCTTATGCCATCTACCATCAAGGTATACAGCTTCCTACTCTGGATGTTGGGTATGCATTGGCAATTTGAGTCCCCGTATAAATGCTCCCTCATATTGAAGTCAAACAAGTTTGGTTTCTCATATTCTCACACTTACCAGCTTTGTGACCATGAGCAACTCATCGAGCTCATCAGAACTCCACATCCTGCTTTTTCAAATGCAAATCCTAACCAGCCTCTCATTGTGGGTGTTCTAAGAGTACATGAGCTAATTCATGCAAACTTCTTGAAACCCAGCCATGTTTTCCCTTTTCCCCATTTTACTTCCCAACCAAAATTTATTTCATGCTTATTTCATGCTTATCTGCATGGTGGTTAGAGTGCTCCAGGAGCTCCTGTGGACCTACTTTCTAGCACTCTCCACCTACTCTTGGCATGGCGAGTGGTCTTTATGGATCACTTCAATGAGCTCTCTTACATTTTGGATTGTGTTTTATTCAACCAACATACATTACCCTAGGGGATAGTGAGACTGGAGAAGGGGGAAGTTTCAGACCCTCCAGATACCTCAGTCACCTGTTGGGCTACTTGTAGGTGTTGCTCGAGCAAAGCTGCTTGTTGTGAGGTTGAGAGTAGAGGCACTGGGCTCAGAAAAAGCAAGAGTTCGTATTGAAGCCAATTAAGCATGCTGCGTGCCCTAAAGAAAGCTGCCCTGATCTCTTGCTTTTAGGACCAAGGATGATGACGGCATTTCCATCACACCTTGGGGTGCCTCACTATTTCTTGATGGTCTCTCTTAATCTGGCCATGCTTTTGTTAATAGTTCCTTCATTAAACTCTCCTTAATCACCCCCTTCCTGCAGGCCCCCTAAAAGATAAGGTTAGGAAACTAGTTCTTTATCCAAGTGTCATAAATGTTTCTAGCGTGTCCTTCTTACACAGACATGCACAGTTCAGAAGTATTTCAATGCAATAACATGCAGGTGTCCAAAGGACCACTGCTTGAGAGGCAAGGTGGGCATTTGTCTCCTTATCTGTAAAATGTGAATAATACCTATTCAGTTCAGTGAGATGTTCCATATAATCCAGCTGGGAAGCTGCAAATCTGGGGATATTCACACTTCCTCTTTTATTATTCAACATTGGGAGTGGGGTCCCTAATTTCTAAGGCAAGCAAGGAGTCTCTCCAAGCTTTCTTTAGGGCACGCAGCATGCTTAATAGGCTTCAGTACGAACTCTTGCTTTTTCTGAGCCCAGTGCCTCTACTCTCAACCTCACAACAAGCACCGACTCATTAGACAATCTGAGACAGAATTTCAGGAGCTTTTTCCCTGCTACCCTGTGGCCAAAAAGGCAGAATAGGAAAGACCACAGTTTTCTCCTGGCACTGGGGCATACCTATTATGTTACTTAGCTTTCTACATTCCTATTCAAAAGGCAGATCATTTCACTTGCACAGATACCACAAGATGTTGGTAAACTCCTAAAATAGAAGCTTAAAAACTGCCTTAAAAGTTCCTTTTACTTGGTCTCCCCTGAATTATTTGCATTAGCTCACATATTCTCCCAAGTATTAGTAGCTTCAGGCAGCTCTTTTGTAGACAAGACAGGAAACTTCCATATTTTAAAAATTGTTGTTTGGTATTAAATACCACCTAACCCGGAGCAGAAACATAGTCATTATTTCCCCTCTCAGATTCAAGAAGTCAAAAATTTTGGCCTATGAAAACTAAGAAGTTACTGAAATCCTCAATTAAATAGCATTTTTACCCATATTCAACTTTGTTTTTAGAAGGCAGGTAAGAGATCCCTACACCTTTTATTCTAATTTAAAACACCTCTTGCTGGTGTTAGATTTAAATAACTCCTCATTGGCCAAAACATGAATTGTGTCCCTCTGTTTTCACGGTGGTGGTTAGGCAAAGGTAATGCTTAGGCCACACATTCTCAATGCCCAGCAATGTGTTCAGAAGCTTGAATATTATGTTTAAATGTCCATTATATCAACTGGGAACAAATTAGAGTTTTAATTTTATGGCAAGCAGTATGACAAAATGCTTCCTTCTGGGAAGGTTAGGAAAAGTCTTTGATGTAGATATTTGATAAATAACCTTACAAAAAAGAAAACCAACTTAGCTCATTAAGTATGGCAATTTCAGGACTGACATGGTGTTGAGGTCTTACACATTTTGTCTGACTTCTTAAATTTCCAACTCAAAGCTTCTAAGGTTAAGACTTAGGTCTTTTACCTAGTTATCCTTAGATAAATCACAGAACATCCCTGGGGCAAACTTTTCCTTGAAATTAAGGGGCCCTAACATTTTGAGAAGAAAAAAAGCACAAAAGCAGAATAGGACTGTCCTGATGGATTCTCAGTAGCTGCACAGTAGAAAAGGGAATGTAAACAATTGCATTTTAGAAGAGTTTCCCTGAAATTTCATTTTGAAACTAATCTAATCAGAACATTCA